AGAATAAAGTACTAAGCCCAGAGACCCCAAAAATAAAACAACAAAAACCTCAAATGTAGATGTGAAGATGGTATAGTACTTCTTTTAAGAAATTTACTTTGAAGGGAACAAAGAAATTCTTCCATGGCTGGAAGGAGATGTGAGGTTAAGGTCTCCTGCATTGCAGGCGGATTCTTTACTCTCTGAGCCACCAGGGAAACCCAAGTTTCAGCTTAGGTAGGAGAAAAATTCGGGAGATGGATGATGGTGAGAGTTGCAGAACCATGTGAATGTACTTAGTGCTACTGAGCTGTACAGTTAAATATGGTTAAAATAGTCTTTTATATTATGTGACCTTCACCACATAAAAAAAATTTTAAAAATGTGATGCTTGGGTTCCCACCCCACCCATTAGCTTGGGATGGAGATTGGGCATTAGTATTGTTTTTCATTTTAAGCTGCATTTTATTATGCAGGCAAAGTTGAGAGCTCTTCATCTAGGATTGGGTGGCTGAGGTGGATTGGAGGACAAGGTCTCTGGCAGAAAGGACATCCAGGAACAGAGAAGCCAGGGCATTGGAAGGGTCATTTTTGGTATTCGCACCAAGAATTTTTCCAGGAGTCGAGTCTGAAGGCAATGTGACCAAATCTCCAAGGAGCGAGATGAGCTGGGGCCTCCTAGATGACTGTAGCAAGGATGAGCATCAGTATCATCTGATGGGATGACCTTCAAAACATCTTGGGTTTTTGCTCTGGAGATGACAGTGAAGCCCAAGGAAAACCCACCCTCCTCTGATCCAGGGTGTCAAGGCCATGGGTTAACGGAATCAGGGTGCTTAGGGGAGAGCCAGGCCTCAGTTAAAGCAACCACTCAATCTACTGAGGACTCACAACTGTATTCTTCACTTCTTTTCCCAAGCTCCAGATTGATCTGTCTAACCCAAGTATTCCCTGATGGATGCACTGAGCCTGCCTCAAACCTGATAAAATCCCAACTGACCTCATTCATCCTGCACCTGCTTTTCCTCCTGTGTTCCCTGCCTTGGTTTATTCCACCATCACCTATTACGTCAGCTAACCTAGAATCAGTGTCATTTAGAATCTTCTCTTTCCTCTGCTCTGTCCTCTCCATTGAGGTCATCATGTGCTGTGAATTTTATTTCTCTATCCTCTCTCCTCCTCTCCACCTCCACAGTCACAGCTTTAATTCTATGTCATCTCTCATCCCCTCCCACCTGGACTTCCTGCCTTTAATCTTGCCTCTCTTAAATCCTTCCCCTGTATTATCCCCAGAGGAATCCTTTAAAAGTCATATCACCTTGTACCTTCCTTGCTTAAAACCCTACCTGCTTAAAGGATAAAGTCTGAGTTCATTAACATGTTAGTGTCGCATAGGCAGGGATTTTTGTCTTTTCTGATCACTACTGTATCCCCAGGGCCTAGAACATAGGCTGGCACATTGTAGGTGCTCAGGATAAATTTGCTGAGTGAATTCACAAATGTGGCCTTGGACCTTCCCAAGAAGTTCTTGCCCCTTTCCTTGGCTTCATTCCTCATTCTTCTCCACCCTGCTTTGTATTCCCTATTCTCATTTACCTCTGTGCCTAAACTTGTGCTGTTTCCCTGCCTGAGATATCCTTTCTCTTTCTCAAACTCCTAGTGAACTCCTGTTCATCCTTCAAAACCTTGCTCAAAGGTCACCTGTCCTGTGAGATCATCGCTGAACTCCAGGAGAGAATTCATTACTTTTCACTATCTTTCTTTCTTCTTTTTAAAAAATTTTTATTAGAGTACAGTTGTTTTCCAATGTTGTGTTAGTTTCTGCTGTACAGAAAAATGAATGAGTTATATGTATACACATGTGCTGTGCTGTATTTAGTTACTCAGTCATGTCCGACTCTTTGCGACCCCGTGGACTGCAGCCCGTCAGACTCCTCTGTCCTTGGGGATTCTCCAGGCAAGAATACTGGAGTGGGTTGCCATGCCCTCCTCCAGGGGAATCTTCCCAACCCATGGATCAAACCCAGGCCTCCCGCATTGCAGGCAGATTCTTTGTTGACCGAGCCATCAGGGAAGCCCATATATCCCCTCTTTTTTAGATTTCCTTCCCATTTAGGTCACCGTGGAACTACGCTGGTGGCTCAGATGGTAAAGAATCCCCCTGCAGTGCAGGAGACCCAGGTTCGATCTCGTGGTCGGGAAGCTCCCTTGGAAAAGGGAATGGCAACCCACTCCAGTATTCTTATCTGGAGAATCTCATGGACAGAGGAGACTGGAGGGCCATAGTCCATTGAGTCACAAAGAGTCAGACATGACTGAGTGACTAAGCACAGTAGCACAGGGCATTGAGTAGAATTCTCATTAGAATTCTCTAATTATACAATAGATTCTCATTAGTTATCTATTTTATGCACACTAGTGTATATATGTCAGTCCAAATCTCCCAATTCATCCCACTGCCACCGTTGTCTACATTTCTACATCACTTTGAACTTTGCATTTGTTACATTATATTGTATGAATTTGTTTACCTGTCTTTCTCTCTTGCTAGACTTATCTTCTTGGGTGAAGAAACAAGTATCTTGATGAAAATGCATCTTGACACAGTGCCTCACGTGTAATAGGCATTCAAGTGAACTGTTCTTCTGGGGGAATCAGATCATGAGAGAGAAGGAAAATGTTGCAATCATTCATACTTTTCTGATGGAGATATAGTTAATGGTTTTTTTTCCCCGAGGTCTAACAGTGGACCCATTTCACTTAATGTTTTTGTAGATAATCAGGAAGAAGGTGATAGCACAATGCCAGGCTGATGGGGATAAATGTTGGGAAGAGTCCACAGTGCCAGGGGAGTGAGCGGGAAACTGGTATCTCAGCAGCAGTGTAGGCAGTGAGAAGTAAATAATCCAACATGTATATGCAATGCTGAGCCATGAGCTGCTGCTTTTATTCTGGGAGACAGATTTTGGAGTCATTATTGTTGTTCAGTTGCTCAGTCATGTCCAACTCTTTGCAACCCTATAGACTGCAGCACGCATGGCTTCCCTGTCCTTCACCATCTCCCAGAGTTTGCTGAAACTCATGTCCATTGAGCTGATAATGCCATTCAACCACCTCATCCTCTGTTGCCCCTTTCTCTTCCTTCCCTCAATCTTTCCCATCATCAGAGTCTTCTCCAGTGAGTTGGCTCTTCACATCAGGTGGCCAAAGTATTGGAGCTTCAGCTTCAGCATCAGTCCTTCTGATAAATACTCAGGGTTGATTTGCTTTGGGATTGACTGGTTTGATCTCCTTCATTATAGATTATGAAAAATGGTAGACATTATCAGCATGGGAACTAGAAGCTAAAGAGGATAATCTCCACCCTTACATAGAATGATGTTGGGTACTCACTTGACACTCAGCTTGCCATACATTTGGGAGCACCTCAGGAAAGGTAAAGCCCAGGTAGGTGTCCTGAGAAGGTCTCAGAGAAAAGGAGTTACTCCTGTGATGAGAGCGACCACAGGAGCCTGGCCAGCTTCATCAGGAAAGAAACACCGAGGTGATGATGATGTGAAAAAAGTGGCTGACATTTATGAGAGCTTGTGCTTTAGGTATTCCCTCACTTCATTCTTGCCACAACCCTGTGAGGCAGGAATTATTATCATCCCTATTTTACAGATGAGTAAAGTGAAGCACAGAGAAGTCAAGTGAGATGTCCAAAGTCACACAGCTTGTAATGGGAGAGCCAGAACGTGACTCCTAATTTCTGTGCCTGGAAAACTTGAGTTATTGTGTTATTATAACTTGAGTTTTTAGTGCCTCCACGTATATGATGTGATCAAATTCTGTAAAATCCTGAAGGGCATGGATAGAGGAAATGAATCTCCTCTATCTGCCAATGAATACTGCCAATAGGGTAACTCAGGAAACTTGAAAGGGTCGGTCTCTGTACATGTGGGTGATAATCTTGTCACCCTAACAGCTGTATGAACAGGTGAAAATAAAAAAAGGAAAAAAATTTAAATGAATTTGTAGATATTTGATGATCTCATATATAGAGAGTTAATATAAATTCCAAACTCTGTGGGGGCTGCTTTATAGCAAACCTCTTCTACACATGCCTGAAAGCTATTCCAGGAGCTGTTGTAAAGAAAGCATGAATCCTGGTCTAGAGGTCTGATCCATCATAATAGTTTTTTTTCCCCCCACAAATTTTTGAGGGTCATTATATCAGTTCAGGAGGTTTGCATTAGTCAACTCAGGCAGCCAAAACAGAGTATCGCAGGCTGAGTAGTTTTATCAACAGAAATTTATTATCTCACAGTTTTGGAGGCTCAGAGTCCAAGATCGAGCTGCCGATATGGTTGGTTTCTAGTGAGAGCTCTCTTCCTGGCTTGCAGACAACTACCTTTTTGCTGGTCCTCATGTGACCTGTCCTCTGTTCAAAAGTAGAGAGAGAAAGCCACCTCTGGCATTGTTCCTCTTCTTATAAGGAACCCAGTCCTTTCAGATAAGAGCGCTACCCTTACAACCTCATTTAACCTTAATTACGTCCTTAAAGGCCCTGTCTTCACATACAAGCGGCCCTGGAGGTTATGACTTTAAGATAGGAATTTGTGGGGAGGGATGCAATTCATTCAATAACAGGGTCTCGATCACTGTTTTCCTAAAATGAAATCAAGGAGAATTAGACATTATGAGTGAGTATTATTTTGGGAAGCGTTTCAAGCTGTCCACGTGAGGATAGGTGTGTTCTCAGGCTGTAACATAAGCGCTGTTTCTAACTCGGAGCCACAGAGAAGTTTGAAAGCTGATGCCTCACAGCATTCCTTGCAGTCTTGTATCAGTGGCCTGTTTCCCTCTCTGGCTGATCCGGAGCCGAACAGAGTCGGGGTGTGCAGACCCCGTCTTGCTGTTAGCTGCTGGTGGAGTTGGGATTCTCCGTCTCGAGCTGGGCTGGTGGAGTTCTGCCCTGGATTCCATCCGTCAGAGGGCAGCCAGTCCCGCTGCTGCTTATGGTACTGTTTGCTCCCCAGGTGACGTGCTGGTGGTGCCCATCAAGCTGCACAAGTGTCCTTTCTGCCCCTACACCGCCAAACAGAAGGGCATCCTGAAGCGGCACATCCGCTCGCACACGGGGGAGCGGCCCTATCCTTGTGAGACCTGTGGCAAGAGGTTCACTCGGCAGGAGCACCTGCGGAGTCACGCGCTCAGTGTAAGTGACGCAGACGGCGGGGCGTGGAGGGTGGTTCCTGAAATGTGTTTAATGCAAAGGTGAAGCCCCTCTGTCTTTCACTTCTCTGTCCACCGGGGTATTGTCAGAGAATTTTAAACATGTATTTCTGCTACTAAATTATAGCTGGGTTAGTGGCACTTAGAAAAAGTGAGAACTTATATGGTGACAGGCTACTTTTCCTAGGAGGAAAGTTAAGAAAGTTCAGATCCTAGTTTGAGGATGTTTGTCAAAAGGCAGAGAACACTGGGGCTTAGACAGGGGATTGGGGGTCTGTTCCCTTCAGGATGATGCCAAGGATAAGCTGCAGCATCGGTTTCCCACCCAACCTTAGCACCCCGGGGTGGGAAGAGATATAACACCATTTATAGGGCTGCTTGTGAGCAGCAAAGAGGACCCCTGCCCAAGTGGCCCTCCCCTTCCACTGGCTGCTGCCTAGGATTCTGTCTTCCATGTAAGTGGATGAGTCCCAGCTGCTAAAAAGCATTCAGACCATTTAGAAAGGCATTGCATTTAAGGTCATCTTTGAGCAAGGCGGCCACTGGGGGCTTCCCTGGTGGCTTAGATGGTAAAGAACCCGCCTATAATACAGGACACCTGGGTTTGATCCCTGGTTTGGGAAGATCCCCTGGAGAAGGGAATGGCTACCTGCTCCAGCATTCTTGCCTGGAGAATTCCACGGACAGAGGAGCCTGGCGGGCTACATTCCATGGGGTTGCAGAGTCAGACACAGCTGAGCCACTAACACTTGAGCAAGGCAATCAGTCTTTGGAAACGCCAACATAAAAATGATTTGGATTTCAAAAGACACTCTCAAGAATGTGAAAAAACAATCCACAAAATGGGAGTGGTGCCACCTCTCACAAACTGGGATTGCTATAATAAAAAATTTATAATAACACAGTGCTGGTGAGGATGTGGAGAAACTGGAATCCTCATATACTGCTAATGGGAACACAAAATGGTGCAGCCACTGTGGAAGACAGTTTAATGTTTCCTCCAAAGGTTAGGCATAAAGTTACCACTGTGATTAGTCACTCAGTCCTGTCTGACTTCTCTGCGACCGCATGGACTGTGGCCCACCAGGCTCTTCTGTCCTTGGGATTCTCCAGGCAAGAATACTGGAGTGAGTAGCCATTGCCTTCTCCAGGGGATCTTCCCAATCCAGGGATCGAACCTGGGTCTCCTGCATTGCAGGCAGAGCTTTACCATCTGAGCAACCTGGGAAGCCCAAAGTTACCATTAGGACCCAGCAATTCTATGTCTAGGTATATACCCAAGAGAACTGAAAACATGCATTCACACAAAAACTTGCACACAGATGTTCATGCCAGCATTATTATTATTTATTATGAATAACAGCCAAATTATTTATTATGAATAATAATAGCCCCCAAAGTAGAAACAATCCAAATATTCATCAGCTGATGAATGAATAAACAAAATGTGGTGTATCCCTACAATGGACTATTGTTTAGCCATAAAATGAGATGAAGTCCTGATACACACTACGGCATGAAATAACCTTGAAAGCATTAGGCTCTGTGAAAGAAGCAAGTTACGAAAGGCCATCTATTATGTGATTCCATTTATATGAAATATACAAAGTGGGCAGACCCATGGAGATAGACAGTAGATTAGTGGTTGAGGCCTGTGGGGATGGGAGAGACAAGACCATTAATGGGCACAGGTTTTCTTTATGGAGTGATGAAAATGTCCTAAAATTAGATGGTGGTGATAGTTGTACAACCTACGAGTGTACTAAAAACCACTGAATTGTACACTTTAAGCAGGTGAATTTTATGATATGTGAATTACCGTTTTGATAGAATCTAGACTTAGATGCATTCAAGGTGACTGCCTTTCCTCAGTGTTGGACCCCGCACATTTGTCTGACAATGGCCTTATCCCAAGATATTAAGTTTTTGTTTGTGCCTTTTTTTTTTTTCTTCAAGTTATATCTCCAATCCATCTTGGCAAAAATCGGTCCCTGGGTGCCTCTTAAGATGTTTCATTGGTTGGAATCCCCATTCCACTCTGTACTAGGTCCAGTCTACTATTCAAAGGCTCCATCAGGCTGCAAGGGTCACAAACACACTCAGGTTGACTCAGGAAACCTCATGGGAAGCCAGACATGTAAGGGCAGCTCCAGTAACCCAAGTATTGTTATTGGCCCTTCTCGTGCATCAGCCTGTCTGTCTGTCTCGCCTCTTGTGTGTATCCTGCATCCAGAGCCCTCCATAAGGGAGGCTGTCATTCATTCACAGATCCCTAATTGACTGGAGTTCCTGAAGAGTGCACACTTTAGATAGATAGTTCCTTATACAAAGAGGACGCCTGGGGCTGCTGTCTTCATGAGGAGTTGCATGGGGTAGGAGATCAAGTTCTCTTTTCTAGTATTCAAAGCTCTTTTCATATGTAAGGAACACATTTATTAACAAAAAAGTCAAGGCTGAAGCATTCGCTGGCATGTTTGGGAAATAGGCTGTTTGGCAAATCTGCCTTCCTAATACCTAAACATTCCAAAGTACTTAAGAAGCCATGCCTAAAATCTGAATTGGTTCACTGATTGCCCTTTTTGTGCCAGGCACTAGGGGTACAGTAACAGCTGTGACCCAGAGGACAGAGAACATGGGTGAAGCTAGTCCACGACCTCCTGGAGCTTATAATCTATCAATTTCTATAGATCTATAATCTAGTAAGTTATAAATCTACAACCTAGTAAATTTTACCAATGATTTGTTAGACGTGAATGGAGAAGTACAGGTGAGACTATATAGCTGGGAGATCTAGTCTGGCCTGGAGCATCAGAAAAGACTTCCTTGAAAGGCATTAGTGGGAATTCCTTGACAATCCTGGGGTGAGGACTCCACGCTTTCACTGCCAAGGTGCAGGTTTCATCACTGGTCAGGGATCTAAGATCCTATAAGCCTGTGGCACAGCCAAAAAAAACCAAAAGGAGTTTAGTAAGAGGGGAGGGGGGCAATGGGGAGGAGGACTGGCTCCATGCACATCCAGTGGCCCTGGGCTGGAAAGGATCTTGGTGAGGCTGAGATGGTGTCAGAAAAAGCCAAGGTGGAGAGTGGTGAGAAGTGCAGCCGGAGGGTCAGTCGGGCCATATCGCATGGGGCCCCGAAGGCCATGGCTTGTTCTCTTTTCTCTGACATTCACTGTGCTGGTGATTTTAGGTTCATAGATCCAACCGTCCAATCATCTGCAAGGGCTGCAGAAGAACCTTCACGAGTCATGTGTCGCCGGGGCTGCGGCGCTTTGGGCTGTGTGACAGCTGCACCTGCGTTACAGACACGCATGACGACGATGACGAATTGATGCCCATCAACCTCAGCCTGGTGGAGGCGTCGTTCGAGAGCCAAGAAAAGAGTGACACAGACAATGACTGGCCGATCTACGTGGAGTCTGGGGAGGAAAACGACCCCGCCGGAGAGGATTCTGATGACAGACCCCAAATTCAGCCCAACTTATCTGGTGGAGAGACGCTTACGTAGCAGTAACTTGGTGGAGGAGAGGGTTTAGAATTTGTTCTTGCTGATTCTGTTGAGTGAAAACCACCCTTTGTCCAATGTCGTGGAACCCTGAGAGGAACATTTTTTTACTGCCAATTATTTGCATTTCTGTTAGGCTGCACAGTGGAGGTTGGATTCTGTGACTCAGAGGGCTAATGAATTTTTAGTGGGGCCCCTGGTTTCCGAAGGCTTTCTGAGTAAATCAGGGTTGGCCCTGAGGCTTGCTGTTTTTTTTTTTTCCTGAGCTGTGCATCCAAACTCTGGTTTGGAGGAAGATAAGAAAACCTCTGTACTGGTTTTTGTAGTTTCTCAGTCTTCTGCATTCCTGTGTCGTCATCCTCTTTCTCTGAAAAGGTGGGCAAGGGTATACTAAATTTCAAGATCAGTCTTACCTCTGCCAAGCCTCTCCTGATCAATTCTGTACTTTAACTTTCTGGTGAAGTATTAAAGAGAAAGCTTGCTTGATTTAAGGTAGGCAGGGCTGTCTGGCATTATGATTGTAAAAGGTACTTTCTAAATCTAAGATTGCAGTTTTAGAGGCTGAGGGTATTTATGTGCAGACAAGCATGGATATGAGCTGAAAGGCTCCTTATGGCACTGTGACTTGCCCCATCAAATTACATTTTAAGTTAGCCCCAGGAAGGGAGCCTGAGAGCCCAGGTCTGGGTGGTTTCCCTGTCTGGCTTGGTGTTTGACAATTGTGTGCACACAAATAACCTGTTTTACCATCATAAAGCAAGTCATTTGGGCAAAACTCAAAATGCTCCTCTGCGTTTTCCAGCCATTTCTGAGAGCCACCACTGTGTAACCTGGCAATGCAGCCGTCACTGACATTCTTTTACTTTATGAATAGAACTGTAATTGAAGGGAAAGGGTAAGCCTACATAAGTAAGTTGTATTTCCAAATTGTTTACCTTTAAAAGATCAACTGGAGGGAAAGGGAGGGTTAGTAGAAGAACAGGTTTTAAAACCAGTCTGTTCTTTATTCACTTTGCAGCCATACAATTATTCTAACAAAAGAATCTGTATTTCTTTAAAAGGCTAAAGAACAGAAAGTATTATGGATTAAAGATATTTCAGGCACTTCCATAATTTTGCCTTATGTTTAAGTATCCAAAATGGATTTTAAAAGAAATTCCTTTTCTTCCTTTAATTTTTTGGGACCCCATGGACTGTAGCCCTCCAGGCTCCTCTGTCCATGGGATTCTCCAGACCAGAATATTGGAGTGGATTGTCCTTCCCTTTTCCAGGGGATCTTCCCAACCCAGAGATTGAACCTGGTTCTCCCACATTATAGGCAGATTCTTTACTGTCTGTGCCACCAGGGAAGCCCTCCTTTAATTTTACTATAATTATATTTCAAAAGGTAGTAAAAAATATCACTTTCTACCTCTGAACAAAAAAAGATAACCAAAAAATATATAAATTTTCTTGTAAATAAATGTTAGCATTGAAGGGTTCAGAAAGCGTTTAGACCATGCTTCTTAACAGAAGTTGGAACCCCAGGACAGTGCTGCTCAAACTATGACCTGAAACAGCTGCAGCTCCATGAATTCTTGGATCCCAGTCCATACAGTAGGGCCATACCTTGGCCTGCAGTTGATTGGAAATTTAAAAATGGGTCTTTTGGGAATTCCCTGAAGTTCGGTGGTTAGGACTCCATGCTTCTGCTGCAGGGGTCCTGGGTTCCATCCCTGGTCGGGGGACTGAGCTCCCTGGAAAACACACAGTGCGCAGCAAACAAAAAAACCAACAACAAAAAAAATGGTCTTTTATCAGAGGTAGTTGGAAAATTATTGTTCTAGGTCAAGAGTTACACAGGGAAAATTATCAAGGATCAGAAATACTTTTCTTACCAGAAATGAGACTATTAGTGTTGTTTTAAAAGAGGGACCTTAGCAAGAGGGAAACCTAAATGGAGGTGTAAAAGATATACTTTGCAAGGAGTTTTGTTATCTTTTGCTTTCTCTGCCTAAAGTATTTCTTTTTTTTTTTTGTCTAAAGTATTTCTGATGTTTTAATTTGACTTTTCTATCTCACAGTTCAGCTCTCGCCTGCTTTCTCCAGCAGAGCAGTGATCCTCTTTGGTGATCCCATGATCTATTCATATCCCTGGGTGCAAGATAAAACATTTTGCATTAGAGATTTCACTCTAAGACAGTGATTTGCAACTGGAGGTGATTTTGTTCCTTAGAGGACCTGTATCAGGCAGTGTCTGGAGACCCTCTCGGGTGTCATAGCTCGGGGTGGGGTGATGCTGGCATCCAGTGGGTGGAGGCAGGGATGCTGTTTAATGCCCTACAAGGTATAGGACGGTACCTACAGCAAAGATGAATGTAGTCCACAATGTCAAGAGTACCAAGGTTGAGAAACCAGCTGTAAGATAAAGCAGGCTTTTAAAAAATGATATCTTTAATGAACTTAATTTTGTTGTGCATTTTAGGCTACCTTTTACCTTCATAATATTTATTAGGTCCTTATGCTTCTCTGGTAGCTCAGATGGTAAAGAATCTGCCTGCAGTGCAGGAGACCTGGGTTCAGTTCCTAGATTGGGAAGATCCCCTGGAGAAGGGAATGGCAACCCACTCTAGTATTCTTGCCTGGAGAATCCCATGGACAGAAGAGCTTGGCAGTCTATAGTTCATGGGGTTGCAAAAAGTCAGACACAACTGAGCGAGTTACACTTTGACTTATGCTCCCACAAGTTTTGGAAAATAGTGGATTCATAAAATGAGGGCACTGAGGCCAGATGATAGGTGGTCCACGACTTGCCCGAGATCTGATTAGGTTTGTGATGTGTAAACTTAGAAATTCTGATCCGATTTGTACTGCTCGACCCATTACTGGGCTCTGACTTTATTTTATTTTATTTTTTGGGGCTCTGACTTTAAAGTAGCAAAATCACTGAGAGGAAAATGGAATGTGAAGCTTAGTATTTAAACAATTCTCTTTCTCCGTAATGTCTCAGATTGTTACATTCCTGGTTGGCTGTTTGGAGTTTGTGTGTTGGCATTGGGACTATCTGGATTTGGTAGTTGAATTCTATTACATTTAAGGGCGATAATTCCTCTGTGTGGACTATCAGATCATAAACTGCCCTCAGTTTTAAATTTATGTTCACATTTGGTGGTCAGTATTTTTAACCTACACAGTGTCTCTAAGGTTTAATTTGTAGAGTTGGTGATATTTTTTAAGTAGATTCATAGTTGGTCCAATGCAGACCATTCATGATCTAGTTTATATTTGGCATCTTTCTGGCACATTCAATCCAGATCTTTTTGTCTTCTATTACATATATTGAATGGATGGGAACAAGATTCTTACTTGTAATGGAATTTTAAAATGGCATCCTTGGAACGTTGTTTTTCTTGGGAAAAGGGAACAGGCTTTCAAGGCAAGGGTTGGAAAGGAATGAAAATAAGGCATGTTACCTGTAATACATTGAGAAATCATCATCATGGCTCTGGTCATTTGGTGGAAAGATGCCATTCTGATGTAAATATTTTGGTGGTCACTAGACTTTGAATATTCTTTAAGAAAGCTATTGACTTAGTGGTCTGCAAAATATTGTGAAATTGAGTATTCTGGAGGATATATAGTTCAGAATACAACAAAGGGTTTTTTTTTTTTTTAATTTTGTTGTTGTTAATTGATGTTGTGATAAACCCCATGGAGAGAAAGGCAATTGGTTGGACTACAAGTGCTGATTCTGAAGGCGGTGGGAAGACAGGAGTGGCCTTCGGTCACCTGAATTACTACTGTTTAATTTGGACTTCTAAGTTGTTCTTGTGTGTCCTTTGTGCATTGACAATGTAATTATCTCTGTGACGTCTAGTATAGTGGGGTAGGGAGGGGCAAGGGGTTGGGGTGGGTGAGAAGTTCCTATCACACTGTTCTGAGCATCACCTCTGTACTTCCTGCTGTTGTTTGTCCCTTGTAGCTGCTTTGTGTTTTCACATGGTCACACTATCTTCTAACTCAAAAAGGAGGGTGCTTTATTCAGTTGCTTATGATAGGCAGTGTTTTCATTGATTTTTATTCAGTGTTTCCACCAAATATTGCTGTGTTCCTCACACCTCTCATTAAAGCTCTGACAATTTGAATTCTTTTCTTCAAATAATGCTTCTGTAGAGATAAATGGAAAGTTGTTTGTTTGGCAGGGGTGGCTTGATTAGTTTCTAATATGTTCCTAGTTTTCAAAGGTGACACTAACTCACACCATTGTGATCAGATGATATGGAGTCTTCATAACTTGAAGAGGACATTTAGCATCTGTTCTGACCCTCCAGATGGATAATTTTACTACTGCCAATTCTTCATGGGCAACTGTGGTTTGGGGGAGCAATTTGTATATCCATCATTTGATTTTTTTTCTTTTTTTGGTCCTCTCTCAGTAGCATCTTAAAAACCAGTGGGGGTTAGGATTGGGGTTATGTACTTAGATGAAGAAAGTTTAGCATAAACTAGCTTGGGAATTTTAAAGGTAGGTGTCAATATGAGATAAATGTCTGGGTGACATGTGATAGATATGGATTATATGTCATGCAGACTGTGAAGGGCATAATTAGGATTTTTTTAGAAGCAGAATATGCCAAACAGTTTCACATCTTTCTACTACGCATGGTCTCTGGAGCTTCTTCTGCCACCAGAAACAGCAAGCAAATAGAAATAAGGTGCCTTCCAGGAGGCTACTTGGGCTCAACTCGATGTTTAGAAACAGTCAGCCTCATAAACCATCACATCAGATTCACTAAGAAGGAGATAGGATGGTGGACTTTCCCTGGTGGTCCAGTGGTTAAGGATCTGCCTTCTAATGCAGGAGATGCCGGTTTGATCCCTGGTTGGGGAACTAAGATCCCACATCCCGCAGGGTGCCTGAGTGCCACAACTGGCAAGTCCGTGTGCTATAAATAAGACCCGACACAGCCAAATAAATAAATATTTTTTTAAGAAAGAAGGTTATAGGATGGGAAGCACGGCTCACCAACAGGGCAGAGCCAGATATTACTCTTCATCAGAGTCCCTGCATCTGTCTGTGTGACTCAGGTGCAAGGAGATAGACACACATCCCGCAGGTTTGGAAGCTATTCTGGCTTAAAAGCTTCTTGTTCCGTGGTAACGAGTATCTCTTATAACAACTCCACTGAAATATCTTCCCCACAAGAGACATGTCTCTTCCAAGAGTCACTAGAGTTAGGGAAACCCAGAGCTGTGGCTTCCTATCACGCATTTAATAGTTCTCCCAGTTTACAGTTTACCAACTTGGGGTCATTTCTACCATATGGAATGTTGCCTAGCAACATGGTTGATATACTACTCTTCATTAGGTTGCCGGGGGAACAGAGCTGGAAAATTAACCCAAGGTTAAATTCTCACACAGAAGGGGAAAATGTTTTGTTAATCCTTTGCCAAATGGTATGCTGAGCAATTATACAACAGATACTGCACATATTTCCTATAAAATATAGCCAGAGAAATTTCCTATGAAGAGACGGCCTACACCAACTTATTTTTCCTTCCTTGAAGAGTGTTCATTCTTTGTACTTAGTTACTTGTGATTAATATACTCTGCGAATTTTGCTGAGGTGTGTTTAAGAGTTGGATAAATGGTCCTATCAAAATGTCTTGTATCCTTTTGCGCTACTCAGCATAGGTGGGTATAGTGTGACATCCTATAGGGACATCATTAAATGGAAATTTCTGGGGATTCCATCATTCACACTTTGATGGGAACCTGCTTCCACCTGGCAACCACCAAACACCAGGTTTTTGATAATGGTGCCTCTTATCATTGGATCATGTGGTGCTACCCTTGCCTGCTTCTGTTGCTCCTGGCAGATCAATAAATGAGGACAGCCAGTTATTTATTCAACAGGTATCCAGTAATTATGTATGGAGTCCTTGTTGTTTGTCAGACACTAGGGGTGCCTGTGGGATACATCAATGAACAAGCACAATCCCTGTCCTCAAGGAACTTGCAGTGTGTAATCAGGGAGGCTGTCAGTTAAACCGTACAGTTTGGGGTGGATTAGAGGCAGGAACAGGGTGTTCTGAGAGTGCTTGGGCAGAGTGTCCAGCCCAGTCTTAGAGCCTTAAGGAAGGCTTTCTTGCCTCTTGTCCAATAAACTCCTACCTTTGGGATACAATTTATAAACAACTCAGTTTCTGATATTTCTTACCGTTTTCAAACATGGTAGCTTTGGACATTAACAGTGTTTAAATTACATGTTTTATTCAATTATATAATACTACAACAAACATTTCAGAACATCCTAGTCTTTAGCAAATATGCATCAGGTGCTATGGTTTTCTTATTTAAGAAACAACAACAAACAACTTCCCATCATCTCCACCCCCTGTAATAAGTTAGAAGAAAGGTGTTGTTACTGTGACAGATGGAGGAGCCCCATTGCATATGGACTGAGTCTTGGTTGGCCATGTAAACCAGTTAATTCCCCAATCAGATAGATACAGAATAGAACCATTAAATCAAAGGACTGGAGATAGTCTCCTCCAAAGAGATTTTATGGAGAGTGGAAATGACTAGTATTTAGTTCCCACACAACTAGTTAGGATCAGAAGCCAGAACCTGCCAGGCCAATGCTGATAACAAACAAACATGTCTGGGCAGGCAGCAAGGACCATCTGTAGACAGCATTTGTTTCTTTGGGTACCCATCAGACTAAAATTACAGCAGAGGAAAATGCTGTTTTAGCCTCATGTGGCTTTGTGTGATCCTGGGCTGAATTCTTGTAATGCTTAGACAGGGAAGGGAAAGTCACATGTTGAACATTAGGGAGTTAATTTCTTTTCCTATAATACCCACACATATTTGAAACAACATAAACTACCATCAACACACAGCAGATCAAAATTTTATTGTCCACTTATTTAATATGTATCAGGTATTTGATATTAATGTATTCACTTTGTAAAAACTTTGAAATTAAAAAAAATTATGAATTAAAAAATTTACAACATTATCTTGAAATTACTTTTGCCAACCTCTCTAGCTGATTTTTGAAATATAAATCGGGTATGATTCAGAGAAGGTGACAAGGATAATCATATTTGAAACAAAAACCCATGTATTTCAAAGACAGCAACCCATATAATATGATATTGAGTGAAAATGTATTTTAGGTACTTCTTGACTCAGTGGATTTTAATAAATCTATTATAAGAGCTAATTTTATTTAAAGCTGTGTGATAATATATGAAAGTTCAAAGTAAAACAGATTAGCCACTTGATGATCTGAAAATACCGTGAAGCAGTGATCCTGGTTGTTAATGAAATAACAAGTTTGGGATTAAAATGAATGCAAATCATCTTTAACTTGGTTACATCAACCTGGGGGTAAACAGGAAATAGTCTTAAACTAAATTTTTGTTTTGATTTCCAAAAAGTCAGATTAAGACACCCTAATGACAAATTTGGAATAGAAACGGTATTATCCAAGTTCAAGGAAAAGTCTTTTGTTCCTTTATTGCTCATTTTGTCTTCAGAAACAAGTGTAATTTAACTGGCTTTTCAGGGCATTTATTTTACATGAAATTTTATGACTATAATATTAGTTAAGAAAGAAAACTCACAAAATAAAGAAAACTATTAAATAGAGCTCTAAGCACAAGAAGCTTCCATATCTTTTCCCACCTCTCTGTCCCCTGATGTTAGGACCATTACTTCCTTATATTAGACAGTTTCTGGGCAGAGTATTCCAAGCTAGGACGTTTTAGATTCTGTGACAGAAGACTGACCACCCCTTGAAGAGTGGGTGATGTGGGATGCAAAATAAGCAAAAACTATGGCAGATAACACAAAACTCAAAAGAGGCACAGCCATTCTAAGTGCTTAGCTTTACAGGCATACACTTTTCAACAACTCTTAAAAGAAAAATAGAAACTGACTTTATTTTTAATCCACAAGTTTCCAAGTGGATTAATTCATCTAACAAAGGCACTTGTCAATACTGCTATCAAAATAAGAAAAAAAGACAAAGTTGGAAATGATCCTGATCATTAAAACAATAGCAACTGATTTCTCTTTTTTAAGGAGTGGGAAACTTTCTGCTTTTTGGAATGGAATTGGTCTTTATGTTATAGTGGTTATATATGTTTATACGATTCAGTGTCGTCCACATTGTGTGTTGTTTTGCTATTTTTACTTTTTATTTATAAAGAACTAAAAATAAGACAGAATGAAGTAATAAATTGGTGGATATAATCTATATAATATAGATCTGACCTCATTTCTGTTGTTTTGGCATTCCATTTTTAAGATAAATCTTTAAGTTGTGTGCATATTTTTGTTTTAAAAATTATTTCTGCTTAAACAGTTTCAAATATTTATCTTCTAAAGACAGGAAGTTGATTCAGTGTTAGCAACGTATTGATATAATTTTACATTTTAAAAAATGTTGAGGCAGGTTTATTTAAGATTGGCTGGGCTCACTGCCAGCTCTTGAGAAAAGCATTTATAGCTTATAGACTTTAAAAAAAGTTCTGCATAGTAATATAGAACTAACACTAAGTACACTTGACATCTGTTTGAAGACTCAATTTCATCTAGTAACTGTCTAGAGCACAGGTTGGGTCTAAGCTGCTAGCTGCCTGGTTTTGGCAAATAAAGTTTTATTAGAACACAAGTTCACCCATTCTTTCCCATATTGTATATGCCAGCTTTTGCACTACGGTGGCATTGAGTGGTTGCAATAGACTTCTCATCCACGAAGTCCAAAATATTTGCTATCTGGCTCTATATAGAGAGTTTGCCCACCTGTGATCTAGAATGTTGGACAGGATGTGAAATCTGTTATTCCTTATGTAGAAATGATGACGGCGAGGTAAGTTCTATTGATCTGGTGAGCATAACCACAATTTAAACAAATGTGTGAACATCAATAGGATCTAAACAAGCCTGGTATGTATGAGAATCAGTGGAGGTTTGCAGCTGATGTATATGAAGCATTGAGGGGAAGTCGCTGGAAGGATCTGACCAGGATAAAACAAGTCATTTGTCTCAGCTCCAATGAAGTATGCCTGAGCCTTCAATGTGAGAGCTACAGGCAGAAACTAAATGAGCGTGATGCAAGATCTTACTGAGATGCTAGGAGCTCAAACTTCACTGCTTTGAACATCTGATGCCCAAAGCTTGAAACCAAGTGGGAGGGCAGGAACACTGACTGCTCTGCACTTCTGTAACTCTGTACTTCCTTGATGTATTCTCAGCGGGCTTCCCTCATAGCTCATTTGGTAAAGAATCCGCCTGCAATGCCGGAGTCCCTGGTTCGATTCCTGGGTTGGGAAGATCCCCTGGGGAAGGGATAGGCTACCCACTCCAGTATTCTCAGCACAGCTGTGGCTCACAGGCAGTAGCAAGACAGGTTAAATCCAGCTGGTTAGGGAATTCCCTGGTGGTCTAGGGAACTGGTTAGGACTCTGTGCTTCCACTGCAGGGGGCATGGGTTCGATTCCTGGTTGGGGAACTAAGATCCTGCAAGCTGCATGGTGCAGCCAAATCAATCATCCAGCTGGACAGCCTGTAATGGTGAGCACTGGAGGCATGTGGGATGTCAGCTTTCCCAGGCACGCATGAATTCAGCAGCAGCAGCCGACAACCAAGTGCTCTTCCTGGTCAGGGCACTTTTGGTTTCAAAGAACAGGCACTCAGCAAGCTTAAGACAATGGTTCTCAAAGTATGGTTCTAGTCCTAGCAACATCAGCAGCATTCCTAGAGGTATTTGGATGCAAACTAAAGCTTGAGAACAGTTTTAAGAGCATTTATTTCAAGAGAAAAACAAGTGACATTATGAGTGTCCTAGGAGAGCAAGTCAGCAGATCATCCGAAATTCGAAAGTCAGGAGTGAGGCTATTGTGGTTCTTGTTCACGCTGTTTGTCTGCCTCCCTATGCCTG